CGCCAAAAAAATCAAAGCGAGTTGATGGTACAAGAGTCGTTAAGCAGAGGCTCGTAAGAGAGAGAGAAGAAAAGTAACCGGTACCTTGAGCTATAATGTATTGTATGCAGAGTCTCTGGTAATTCGAGCCCGCCATTTACATCGCGTTATTTTTCCATAGAAACACGACGTATTTTCCTAGCGAAATTACCGAGGCGTCGATAGAGATTCCGCCAGCTAAGCTTCGAACGACCAAACGAGTAAGAAGATTATATTCCTAGGTTGACCATAAGCGGACATCGCATCAACGGGATTTTAATCCGGGATTTAACTTCTGAGATGCGTAATGCCGAAAATTGAAAAATCGTTAAATAACGACCATTCCTCGACCTTTGCGGCAAGGAGCGGCTGTGAAAAATTTTCACGGTGAAAAATTCTCACCTTAATATATTAGGAATGCGATTTAATTTTGAGAGTTTTGCAAGAGATGGCATTAATGTCAGTTTTGTCGGAGACATTCCAATCACAGCTATTGTTTCTTAATGCTTTAATATTAATCCATGATATTTAGTCATTTACTAACAATAGGCGCAGTAAAAATCGTGTTACTATTATCTTAAACTATTACTACTACCTCGTGTAATACTATCTTAAAAATGAAGCTTTCTAAAGCATGTTTGACGTGCGTCGTTTTTGTTTTTTAATCAGAAGAAAACGATGGCTGAAGGTCATAGAATTCTGAAAGAAACTTGTGGTAATAATGCTCCGTCGATTAAGACAGGTAAATATTGATTTAGATGATTCAAAAGTGGTTGCTTCAATTAACGATAAAGATCGCCCAGGACAACCAAAAAAACCTGAAAATGCAGATTTGCAAGCATTATTGGTCGAAAATCCAGCACAATTCACTTCAGAACTTACCGGAGCATTAAAACAGTTACTAAACGTTTACATGATATGGAAAAGATTCACAAAGAAGGAAAATGAGTCCTACATCAATTATCGGAAAATGCCATTGCGAACCGGTTGAACATTTGCATTTCGTTGATCGCCAGACAAGAAATGAAGAGTTTTTATATCGAATTGTTACTGAAGATGAAAAATAGATCTCGATAATTCCAAACGAAAAAAATCATAGCTGGATGATTTAGGCCAATCAGCAATATCCACTTCGAGGCGCAATATTCACAAAGGTTCAAAGGTATTGTTGTGTATTTGGTGGGGTCAAGAAGGTGTTGTGTACCATGAACTGTTAAATCCGAATGAAACTGTCACCGCCGATTGTTATTTACCTTAATTATACAAATTGAAGCGAGCATTGGCGAGCAAAAACGATCGCTAATTGCGAATAAATGGCGCAAAGTGATCGTTCTTCGCGACAATGTTCGACCTTATGTTGCACTATCAGCAATAAAGCAAACGTAGAGCTGGAATGAGAAGTCCTACCGCAGCCCGCGTATTCTCCAGACATTGCTCCATTCGATTATCACTTGTTCCGGTCGATGCAACACAAGCTCTAGAGGTTACTTTTTTTTTTATAATTTCGAACAAGTGCGAAAATTTGTTGAAAATTGCATCAACTTCAAAGCAGAATCTTTTCATATTCGCGGAATCCATCTTTTGCCAGAAAAATGGCAAAAAGTTGTAGAAAACGAAGGAAAATATTTTGATCAAGGTATTCATTCATTATCTTGTTTAAGTAAATCAATTTTCGAGGAAAAAACCTTCCAAACTAAATTACACTTCTAATAATAATATAGTCATAAAATATAATTAACCCATTAAAGCCCACTAAAAACCCGATATAAGAAAAGTATAATTATAATTATACTTATATATAATTATAAATATAATTATAAAAAATAATGCAAGCGCACACACGCATACACATGTTACCGGATCTCATATAAATGATAAACGTTTCAGTCGCAATCCAGACTCCCTCCATGCCGATCAGAGGCGAACAATTTAACACACGTCATTCTCCTTCCCTTTTTCTCTCTAAGTCGTCCCCTCGCCGCGTCATTCGCCGCCACAATGGCACACCTAAACGTGTTTTAATTAGATAAAAATGTACGGCGCGTGAGTTCTCGTCATCGGGGTCGCCGTCGCTCGTTCCTTCTCTCGCGGCGCTTCGATTCCGCGACTAAAAGCGTCGCGAGACAGACTAAAGTCGGTGCCATGGCCGGCTTTACGTGTACAATCCGCTTTCTCAATCCCGTTGCGTTATCACGCACGCCATATTCTGTCGGCTGACAACCGAACATTATCGACCGACGCAATAACGCTCGAATTTATAAAAAAAAGCGAAACACCGCGCGAGCGCACGGCAAACACACACACACACACGGACACGCATACCAAGCGAACTAATTACCGCGCGACGCCGCATGAACGGGATCTCGTAAATTACTCGCTCGGTCGCCCTGCCGATCACGGGAAGCTACTGCGCGCGCGCGCGCGCACACACAAATCAATTATGCAATTAATTATAACGTCTGGCGTATATTATATCTGGTATAACTTTCATAGGCTTATGTAATGGGGACTAAGCGCGGAGATGACTTACGTAACAGATGCCGTGTCTCTAGTTTGAACCTCGGCAGCCTCTCCTCCTGCCTCCGCGCCGTCGCGCATCGCGCTGTCGTAATTTTGCGAAAATGTAGCGGCCCGAAGAATGCCGACGACGCGAATGCGCCGATATACCCGCGAATCCGCTTTATCCGCGAAGTTACGCAAGCTAATTTGTATGCAGATGAAGCGGACGATGACGATAGCGAGACGGACGGACGGACGGACGGACGGCCGATGATCGTTCGAGTCGTCGAACGGGAGATACGCGAGCGTCGAGTACCCCGGGGAACGAGCAGCATCATACGCACGGGGAGGGACTGCGGGGAGTTAACCCTTCATGTGTTAGGCACAGTGGTAAGTTTCTTAGCAGCTTTTACCCTTTCATTTTTACGACGTACTGTTTCGATGGAAATAAGCGCGATTTCACATTTTTCTGATGTATCGATACTTGACTTACGGGTTTCTCATGGTTTGCTGTATCCGATTGTTGATTTCTATTTATTTTAATTATAATTTTTTAATTCGTAAATTTTTAATCTATAAACAAATGAAGCTGAAGAAAGCAATTTAAGAAAAAGAAATTTAATCTCTCGAGAAGTACCTAAGATTAGGGGCTAAAAATTTTCCCGAATATTCTCTTCACACACGTGTCAGAAAAGTAATACATATTTTCTCCAAAATTTTTCGCACGCTAGATTTTTTTTATAAACAAATCACTGAAATGATTTTTGTAAATCTGGCAGGAAATTCATGATGATGAAAATGACGATCTGAAAAAAACTTTTATCGCGTGTCTGATCTACATTTATTTGGACTTACACTAATTTACCCCTATATGGCAACCATATTGGATCTGCCATTTTGAATTTTTGAAATCTGACTTCGGGTTCGTGATCAGCGACTCAAGAAAACATAAAAGTGCAAGATTTTACAGAAACCCGTCAGGTAAAAACAAATGTGCCACATAGACGGTTAATGTGACAATAACGTGGCAATAAATCAATTAGTTGGAAATATACGGGTTGAGCTAAGTGCACGAAGTTGATCTTGTTGAAGGTTTTAAATGTTTAGGATCTCAGATTTTATATAATTCACTGATACTTTCTCAGAAAGTGAAGCACTCAGAGACTGAAGTATCGTTTAGTGACACAGCAGCAGGCTAATTTTGCTTCTTTTTTCTTTTTTGTTGAGAGTTTAGTTTTGAGGTTAGGGGACAATTGCATAGATCTAACAGATACGAACATGTGATATCGACTATCAACTTCCAAGAGCGAATAATTGTTCGCACTGTCGTTGTTAGCAGCATGTTTCTGATGTTGCGTCATTTGCTGCGGCTTTCAATTTTATCCGGAACTTGTTATAATCGATAATGTATAAAATGTAGAACAAGGACAGGTATCTAGCATATGCGCATGAACCCGTATCAGCTGATACACTAGGTGCAATTGTCAGCAATTTGGTCCATTCATCCTTCGTTCAACCGATCTTTCTTCTCCGTGCACGATCTCGTATGATCTGTTTTCCTTTTCTCTTGTATCCCTCCTTTTGATGAGGAACGAATTTACGAAGCGTGTCTCTCTCTCTCTCTCTTTTTCTCGCGACTCTGTTACTCAGCAAACATCAAGAGGCCCGCAAAAAAGATCGTCGAAAGCCGTCACGGCGATAATTGATCGATATCGCGTGGCCGAGTATCCCCGCCGCGATACGTCGTCGTTCTCGCAAAATGTAACGAGCGGCGGGCGAAAGAAAGAACGAAAGAACGAAGGAAAGCAGGCAAGCGAGCATCCGTCGTCGGATTTGTCGAGCGGACAGCACTTTCGGCGGCCGGCGCGTATTTCGGAGACCGGCGGGACACAATCGATGTCTCGAATCGAGGGCAGCAGCCGTGCGCGGCTCGTTTAGAGAAAGGAAAGTAAGACGTGGACGCGGGAGCTACGCCTCCTCCTCCTCCCCCTCCCCTCCCCCACCTCCTCCTCCTCCTCCTTCTCCTCCTCCTCCTCCTCCTCCTCCTCCTTCACCTTCGTCGTCGTCCGCCGTTAACTCCTCGTGGTTCTCGCTCACCTGGCGAGGTAATGTAAGGTAAGATAACTTTCCTCCACCTCTCGTATTCTCTCTCCCGCCTCTCTCCCCCTTGCCCCTGGCCCCCTACTCCGCCGCCCCTCCCAGCCACGCTCGTTTCCTTTCCACGAGTCAGCACCACCACGCTTTTAGGGAGCTTTCCACCACCAGGCGGGTGCACACACTCCGCGCCTCGATAAAGAACTATGCAGCTATGAAGGTAGGACAGCGTCGCGAGTAGCGCAGTTAAGGTAGTCGATCAGCGAGTAGTCGCTGGGAACAAGCACCCGGCAGAGAGAGAGAGAGAGAGAGAGAGAGAGAGAGAGAGAGAGAGAGAGAGAGAGAGAAGGAGTGAGAGAGGGAGAGAGGGAGAGAAAGACCGGTGGAGATCGGTGGTGGTCGAGAGCTGCGAGCTTCCTGGACGACCCCTGCGAGCGAGGAGGTGGACGCACGAGCACGAGGAAATCGCCGACACGTTTGTGCTGCTGGCCACCACCACCGCAGAGAGTAGTCTCCCCGAAAACGCAGGAGACGTTGGCCGGGTCGCTTGAACATCGTGCCAGTTTGATCGCCGGCTCGACCATCATCCGATCGTTCGTTCGTTCGTCACGTATCGCATGTGTTGAAAGAGTGCTCGCTGAGAGAGAGAGAGAGAGAGAGAGAGAGAAAGAGAGAGAGAGAGGGAGCTAGGGAGAGAGAGAGAAAAGAGAAAGAGAGAATTGGCGCTCTCGCCAACCCCGATTCGAGTTCGTCGCTCGCCGCTCGTCGTTCCAAGCGATCGCGGATCATCGTGCAAAGTCCCAGCTACGGTGGAGCGCAACGTGGTGGAAGAATGTCTAACAGGTGAGTACAATGTAACGGAACCGCGGCCTGGGCGATCTCGGACGTGTCGCGCGTGCTGAGCTGTTGTCCGCAAAGGGTAGGGCGAAAATTGCACGACTGGGCCCGGTCGCCCTTGTTTATTGGTATGGTAACCTTGTTTATTGGTATGGTACCGAGAATGTTTATAAAATCCTGCAGAGGGCGAGGGTATCGTAACTCAATGCGTTCTTCTCGCCCGTTCGTCGGATGACTAGGGGAGATCAAGTGTGAGTAAATACGCGGCGAGTCGAATATACGATGAACTGGGCTTGATGAAGCTGAATTCTCAGTGACCGTCTAGATGGTAGCAGACGGGAGCTCTCGTTGATCCTCCGTCGAAATATTCTTCGATGCTTGTGTGTTGATGAATATTCGTCACCGTCTTAATTATCCTCATCAGAGGGGATTTTGATGGGAGACTGATGGATTCTTGCTTGTCGCTCTTTAGACGGACAATGAGAATTCAGCCTAAAGACTGCATCTGCAGGACTCTATTAAGGGGTTGCTATTACAAAGTTCCAAAGACGATACTCATACTTTGACCTTATATCTAAGACCGTTCCAAGTTGATCCCAGGATGTGAGTAATCAACAGAAGTCAATGAGGCAAAACATGCCGCGTAGTGAATGAAACAGTCTTCACAGCACCTTAAAGTGAAGGCGATTTTAACCCCTTAAGTTTCAGCGAGTTCTCATAAGCAGATATCTGGCACGTATAATATTTTCAAAGATAACAATATTTCGATTTATTCATCCATACGACACTTGATGAAATATTTTGCTGCTATTTAGTTAATTTAATTAGTTTAATTAATGCTAAATTATCATAAAAATTTCAATTCTTTCTTTGCTGAAACTACCTTTCAAGTTGAATCTTGAAGATATTATCTTACTTTGGAAATACTATATATGTCGGTTTATCCTTCTATCAAAATAACACACTAAATTTCCAAAGCAAAGTAGCGGCACTCGTAGGTGTAGGTATGAGGCTGTAAATGCCGAAGAAAATCGACCTGACCACCATGCTCGCGAATCAATGCGAAAGGAGACAGAAACGAGGAGAAAAATGGACTTGGATCCCGCTAGCAAGAAGCGGCTCGTCCATTCGAATCGTATCGTAATCTCGCGGTCGACAACACGGAAGGCAAAACGCGATGCTCGCATGAGCCAATACATCACCGTCATCGTTCCCTATCAGTATTTTCTAATCTGCCGAGCGTCTTCGCGAACGTGAGAAAGAGGAGTTTAAGGCTTCCCGAAGTGAACGGATACATCGAAAAATATGATCGCGGGTAATTATGAGAACTGGGTCGGGGCAATGGGGCGACGTCTCGCAGGAAACACACGCGACTCTTTTCGCGTCTATCACCGGAGGCGCGACCGGGTGCGAATACTACGAAAGGTGAAAGGAGAATCCGTGCAACGCGCGAGCGCGCGCCGAGAAAGCAATCCACACTTAATTTTAATCGACGCGACGCGAGTTATCCGTCGACGTGATCGTTTGCAATGTTGAGAAGACTGGTCGCTTAAAATTTGACTTGGTTAAAATAATCGGTGGATCAACGGTCATAAAATCAATCAATCGCATTTATAAATAATTTAGTCGTAGACTGATGAAATTAATTATTAATCGATGTGTAATAAATTAGATCAAAGTCGATTAAATCGGTTACAAAGCAATCGATTGAAACAATCGTCATATGTGATCATAATTTATTCGATCTTAATATTTATCATTTTGGCCAATCAGAATCTCAATCGATCAAAGTTGCTCTACTTGAGATTTTCATTAACAAAATACTGATTTTTTTCTACAAAGTTTACGTCGTACTGGTTGCGCAGAATTAAAAATGCTCTTGCAATATAAAAATATCTATAAAAATTAATTGAAGCTTTACTCAATATATGACGAAAACAATAAATAATTTCTAAATTGGCATCTCGAATTGTTAGTTATTGGCATAAATATGCATTTACTTCGTACAAAAGTTTTGCAGCTTGTACGTACTGAATGTACGTATTTACTCCGTTCAAGAAAATTTCAAAGAGCAACAAGGCTATAACTTCACAATTTAAAAGAATTTAAAAAAAAGGATATTTTTATATATATGCATACAATTATGTCCTGCTAAATATAAGAAAACATAGTAACACACGTTTACGTAATATATGTACAAAAAATGCAGAAAGGAAAGTGTGATCGTGTTGGTGCTTATTTATTTGGCATAAAATTTTAACGATTGTCTACACGTTATCAACATTTTTCGAATTCATCATCCACTTTAGCATTCCCGCGATGTTCAACACTGTTTGTCCCTCGCGTTTGAAAAACCATTTCGTCACGATCATTATAAATATGAACTGGCAGTAAATAGGATGAGAGGTTATCCGGAGGAATTTAGAAAGAGAAATGCGTACCTGCCGCTCTATGAGTGACCGGAAATATGTTCTGCGCATACTTGACCTATACTATATAGTGGTACATTCTGATTGATGTGTATAACATGATTGTGAAATGGTACGCAAGACATGTATGATCATCATATCATCGTGCAAAACGTAAGATTGAGGTTATTATAGAAAATACCTTTTTGTCATAAAAATAATGAAATATTTTTATCATAATATTTAACTCCACATAGATTATGTAATTTAATGTCAAAAGAGAATATTTTTAAATATATTTTTATCCTATCAAGAAATATACGAGTGAAAAATTTTTCAAATGCTAAGATTTCGAAATAACAAATTCAGCGTATAATTATAATATAATATATATCTTTAGCATGGAGTAATTTTACATAAAAAATATTCAAGTAGCTCAATACGAATTAAAAGGAACTTATAAGCTCTTACCTATTTTTGTAAGAAGTTTCATTCCGGAAGCGAAAAGAAAATTATTATTGTTACCTTAAGATTACGTTACAGGTTACCTTTATCGCAAAATCACCGCGAGCGCTGAAAGTTCAGTAGAGAAAAATGCTACAAGGTACTTTTTCACTCTGTCTAATCTTTTTTTATACGTATCTAAGGGCAATCGCACATGAAATGACAGCCGTGTACGCACAGGAAGAACCGCGTCAATCAACGAGCAATCCCGGAAAAAGTTGTCGCATTTACTCACATAACTTTTTCCTAGACGTTCATTGGAGACGAAACGGTCGTGTGCTATGTATACGTAGCTCTGTCATTTTATACGTGAAGGCCGTGATGCAGAAACTACAATGGCAATAGCCAGTCTATATCTGCGGGGTTTATGGCCGCGATAGCGAAGGCGCACGCGCGCGCGTGCGCGAATAAGTGAATTCCTGCGGCGCGGAGATCGACGGGGCGGGCGGGCACCCTCGTTCGTTTCGTAATTTGAAATTGTACTTTTGCAAGTATCGCGTATCCTTCTGCTTGAAAATCCTTTCGAAATCCTTTCACCGACAGCTTCTAGTCGCCAAGGAAAATATCGGACTGGATATTCCGCGGATACCGCGAGACGGTCGATCACTGTCCGCCTACTTGGTGGCGATCATTGTATCCAGCCGAGATGCCGCGGCACGATGCGGCCGCGACTCGATGAAGGCGATCGATTAGCGAAGTTACGCGTACAGCGCAAGCTCTCGCGACTCGCCTCTTTCGCGATCTTTCGACACGTATCACCGGTCGGAACGATCCCGATTTATTAGTCCGCGTCGCGATCGCGCCGCGTCGGCTCCTTGGATCCTTGGAACGACGCAGCCACGTGTCGTTAAAAGTCGACGGCCGCTTAACACCGTCGGATGCGACGTGATTGCTTTATCAGCGCGAACGAAACGCCGTTGCGCAACAACGGGGAAGAACTTTCCTGAATGGCGCGCTCTGCGGTCGATTTTTTTAACGAATTTTCACTTTTCGTGCAAGCGCTTCCTGACCGCCGTTTCGCACGCTCTCCAATCGGATTTCACGCGATTACGTGCGCGGAATATCAATCCGAATTCACGTAATTCATCCGGGCAGGACTGACAGGTTTCCGGAAGAAATCAATCGGCAATAAGATAGCCTACTGCTTGGTCAATGAACCGCGATCTATCCAATGGTTATCGAAGACAGAAAGAAAAGGAGGGAAATGAGGGGGGAAAAAATGGGTGGTTATAGAGGAGCAATTTCTCCGATCTTTGAATTTAATGTTGCGTTCACCTGGCACCGAGCGTAAGGCAAGCAAAACGCTTAATTCTCATAAGATGAGATACAGAGACGAATATACAGGGTGTCCGGAATCTTTTGGCAAATGAAAAATTGTGAAGATTAATCACATCAAACTGAGTACCATTTTGCAAAAATCGTAATAGTTATTAAGTTATTAATGATTGAAAATGAGCACATCTAGATGCTCTTTGATAACTTGATAACTTGAAAATTTGCATACTTATTTGCAAAATGGTAAGTGACAGGTGACAGGCTAGTGGCAGGTTCAAGATTCAGGGTTCAAAGTTCAATACACTCGTATCTATCGCTAGACACAATAGCCGTCATATAATTGTGGGTTAAGTCATTCTGATCAAAAAAGTCCTTTACCATTTCGCAAATAACGCAAATTTTCAAGTTATCGATTAAAAGAGCTTCCAGATGTGGTCATTTTCTATCATTAATAACTTACTAACTATTACGATTTATGCAAAATGGTACGTGACTTTTCTTTTCTTTTCAGTTTAATCTGATTAATCTTCACAATTTTTCGTTTCCAAAAGATTCTGGACACCCTGTGTACTTTTCAACATTAAAATAAAATTCAGATGAATTCTTTTCAAAAGTGTCGATATATGATAAATGCGATTACGTTTCTGGTAGCTTTAGTACGATTTAACAATTTTTTGTATTGCTCTAATAATAATATGCTAAAGCTCCTGAATCGTAAAACTTCTTTGAATTTCGAAATATGAATTGTTAAAAACATACGATAGGAGATAAAAGTATAAAGTTTGTAAATAAATTTCTATTTCTATATATATATATATA